GGCTGCCTGCACTTAAAGGGAACCCTTTACGTGCAGGCAGCCAGAGGACCCCGTGCGCCCAATCTCCAAGCGGCAATGCCACTCAGAGATTGGGCGCAGGGCCAGCAGCTGCCCCCCCTCTCCTCTCTCTCAAGAGAGAAGGGAGAGGGGTGGCTGCAGGTGTTGGGGCTTGGGGGCGGGGCTTCCCCTGCCAATCTGGGGGGGTCTGGCAACTCTACTCAGAAAACAACCCTGTGAAGAGGGTCAGGCTAAGAGAGACTGATTGTAACATATCACTCTTTTCAGCAAAGTTTGAATCCTTCCTCCAATTTAGGACATCTTCTTCTGACAGAACCCCCCCCCCCCACTCAATTTGGAGGAAGGCTTCAAACTTAGCTGAGCAGAGTGGCAGCCTACAGAGCATAGGGACACCTTCATGGCAAGGGGGTACTTGAACCTGGGATCCCTCTGTTGTAGCTAAGCACTTTAATCACTACAACACAATAGAGAAAGGCAATGGGGACAAGTCAATATAGATCCTGGCTGTGAAGCGGTGCAAAAAATGAATTGCTGTAGGAACGTTTCAGAGAGTTTTAATCTCCTCAAGACACAGGTTTTTCCCCTGCACTAGTAATAATGCACAATTAGAAAAAGTTAAAAGTAGGCTTGATCTCTTGTGGCCAGTGAGATTCCGAAACACGTTGGCAGAGTTCAGGAAATAATCTAATCCACACTTTGGAGTTTGCTTTCAATGAATCTTCTGCAACAGGATTTTGCAAAAAGACAAGAATTGACTGTAGGCCATTAATGTAACAAAGAGGCCTTCAGAGCACAAGCACCAACACATACTAGCACACAGCAGAGAAACAACAAAAGGTAGGTTGAACTGCAAGAGAAAAACATTCACTAAACCCTAAACACTCGAGAAATGCTCCATAGCTCCCTCTAGGGCACAAGAGGACTAAACTACTCTTTCAGCATTAAAGTAACTATACTCTTAGCACGCTGTCGCTTCTCCAACAAAAGGCAGGTCTCCTGGTCAGGGCTGCTGAGGAAGATAGGAACAGGGAGATAAAATTGGGGAGAGCCGTAGTCAACCAGGGTGAGGGGGTCCACATGGGAACGGTTCTACATGGTGTTCTACTGTGATAATTGTCAATTGTATTTAAAAGTTTTAAGGTTGTAAATTGCCCAGCCCCTGCTCTCAGGGTGGGCAATTCATAAATCCAATAAAATAAATAAATAAATAATGTTTGGGTTGAGTCTGGGTGGTATGAGGAGGCTCGGACAGAATTTTTAGCTGGAGGGCTGCCATATCTCTGAGGTTTGGTTTTCACACTTGCCCATGGTATAGGGCAACCCTGAAACCTTTCGAATCTCCTTTGCATTCCAGTGAGAACCAGGGCTTTTTTTCTGGGGGAACACACTGGAACAGAGCTCCGGAACCTCTTTGACAAAATTCTTTTTAAAATGTTTAAAAGTTCGTGAGTTTTCAATATACGGATTGAAAACTTCATTTTCCTCTTGAGAGTTCCGGCACCTCTTTTTTTTTTTTTTAAGCCCTGGAGAAAACATTTATGTGAGTAACGACTAGGTCTCTCAACCCTAAACACACCATTGCACAAAAGTTCACATTTCATAAAGTCTGGGGAATGCATTCTTGAAAGACTTTTAGTATGTTCCATGTTCAGCCAGTACAGTGAAGCAGAATGCAGGCAAACAAATGCAAGTAATGAGCCTAATCATCTGGAATGTAGAAGGGAGGCTTCACCTGCCACTGAACTTCAACTGTGTTCTGTGAACTGGGAGTGCAAAAAGATAACTTTTGGTTCAGTCTCAGCACACGTAGTCCTGATTTAGAACAAAGTATGAACAAGCTCCTGGAAGAAGTTGAGAAGGAACTTTATTTACAGCCCAACACAGTCTACCCTTCTGCAGAAATGCAATGGGAGGGGTGGGGTGTCCTCCTCCTTAGCTTTTTAATTCTATAAAAAAATACAATCAAAGCAGCATAAAATGAATTATCAGCCAAACTGGATTTCAGTGGTAAAATCAGGAGAAACAACTTGCTAGCAGATTGAGTTGAGAGGGAGGGGTTGGAGATCAACTCTACTTCGACAGCAAATCCTAACAGCATTGAGAGCTAAACACAGGGCTGTATCATAAGAAACAAAGTTCTTTCAGCCGGCACACACTGAGAAGTGACTGCTTTGGTCCCAAGAAAAACCCAGAAATAAAAGTCATGTAATGCGGTCAGGTAATACCTTGTTTTAGGATAAGCCGTACATCATAAAATAGTGTGCATTCATTTGAATGTATTTATTTCAGTACTTTTACCCTGCTTTTCTTTCACAATGAATGGAAGCCAAAAAAGGTGTGGGAGGAGATATTTCAGGTCAGGGCCTTAGCCAGTGGTGGGGCACACGAGTTGGAATCCCCTTTTGTATTTGCAGCGCTCCACCCCAATTCCCCACCCGAGTCCCCCACTTCACCCCAACTGTTTAAGCCGTGCTAGCCCAAAGCGATTTTGCTGACCCTCCTTCCTTCCTGTGGCTCTTCCTGATTTTTGGTGGGCAGAAGTGGGTGCACGGGAGGGGGGGCAGAAGGAGGATTAGCAAAATCACTTCGGGTTGTCCCCTGCACTGACCCTCCAGATAAGCGGCTAAAGGCAGCCTGGTGGTGAGCGCTTGGTGCCATTATTGGGGGGAAGGGGAGCAAGGCTTGCTGGGTCTTCCACATGGCCCCTTCTTGGGAGAGAGGTTTTAACAACAGGAGAAGTATTGGAATATTTGTCAGATGAATTGTTGATTGGTGCCTCGGCTGTTATCCTTTTGCATATATATTTTTGAAAAGGGTGGGATTCCCTTCAGTATTTTTATCTGGAGAGGATTGGATTCCCTCCAACATTCTTATTATATCTGAGGAAGACTCCTGAAATGATGGCATGATCCGGATACATCATCATAGAGGATAATTTTGACAATCTACATAATTGATTTTGACGTTCAAAACTATCTGAAAGAGACTTGAGTGATATAAAAACCTGTATTAGCCATCATGTAGAATATTTTTGCTTCTTGTGATTTCCAGTCTATCTGTCAATTTCAGTATCACATTGAGAAAACAGCCTTTAATGTTACCAATGTTTGTAATTGAGGATTATAAGTGACATGTTTTTAAAGAAAAAATATAGTTGTTCTTGATTGTTTTTAGTTCATCATCATAATTACAGCAGATTATCTCAGTGTTTAGGACCTTCTCGGGACAAGACATGGCCACAGAACCCTGCTGCCCCAGTCCTTCCTGCCTGCATTTGTACCCAACTGGTTCTGGGCTACCCTCGCTGCTGTGACACTTTCGTGCCCCCCCCCCCCCCCCGGGCAGGGATCATTGAGCCGAGCAGCTGGGCAAAGGAAGTCAGACAAGGTTGCGGGGTCTAAAGAGGGGCTGCTCGAGGGGTCAACCGAGGGGCTCCATCTGGAGGTAGGAGGGCCTGAAGATAGCAATAAGGCTCAGGGAAGCCACCAGGGGCCATGTAGGGAGTGCGGCCACTGGGCAGGGGCTGGAGCCAGCTGGGACCACCACCAGGGAGCCAAGCCATCCACCCATCCACTCACTGTTTAATTTAATTAGTTGTGCCCCTAGTGCCCCCCCCAAATATCCCTGGCTATGGTGCTGTTTCAGGTAGGGTTGTCAGGCTGTTCCTGGCAACTGGCAGGAGCTTCAGATGCAGAGACATGGCCGGGGGGCGGGGGGTAGGCAGCACCATCTGTGCCATGATGTAACTTCTGGGGGAAACCTAGAGGTGACATCAGTTAGCTCTACCATAGAGTTTCCGGCAATTCCTAAAGCTATCCAATGTCTTTTCCTAGTTTTTCCCAGAAGTGGCATCACATTGCAGACAGTGCTCACACACACACACACCGCTGCTGCTCAGAACAACAGCAGACAACAAGGGCTGCTGGTAGGAGGCCTCCTAACATGGGGGAAGCCTGGCAGCCCCAGTTTTCAGCCCATAATATGAATGTGATTTATCTGCATTTTGGTGAAGGAAATAGTGCAGAACTGTTTGAAGAGCTGCACTTAAGAGTACTTTCCAGGGAGTAAGCCCACTTAAATGTATTTTAGTAGGATTCTGAGTAGACCGGCTTAGGGCTGCTGGCTTGGTGTTGGATGCAGCAGATATCAAGCTGCATCTTAGCTTTCTGGACAACCTCCACTGAATAACTGGCAGTGTAATTTGTCTAAAAACAACAACAACAACAACAACACTACTTTAGACATGCCCATTAGATTGAATTAAAAAGCACTCTACCACCAGCTTGGCTGACGGGGGGGGGGGGGGAATCCTGTCCCTTTAGTAGAGGTTTAATGGGATGTTACTTCCCTCCATACCAGGAAGAGCTTCAGCTGCCTATTTTCACACATTAACCTCTATTCAAGGGACAGGACGTTTTCCTCCAGGCTGTAGGTGACCCTGCCCTGCCCCAAATGATAAGCGCTAGAGGCACTAAAGCACTTGTTCAGATGGTATTAAGAGGTAGGAAGGGCCTCTATTTGAGAAGCTCAAAGCCTAGAATTCATTTATTTATATCATTTATATCCTGCCTTTCTCCCTAGTGGGGTCCCAAAGCAACTTGGCAGTACTTTGTCTCTTGGTAAAGTTCAAGAGGACAAGGGAAATTACTTGTCTACCTATCCACCAATACATTTTAATCCACACTTTCTCAATGAGGATTTATAAACCTGTAAAGTAGATTAGGCAGAGAGAGAGAGAGAGAGAATGAAAGAGAGAGAGAGAGAGGCAGGCTGGCCGGCCTAAGGTCATTCAATGAGCTTCATGGCTGAATGAGGAATTGAACCAGAGCCTCCTTGTTCCTAGTCTAACCACTACAGCATACAGTCTGTGTGTGAGAATACAGTTGGGGTACCTGCATGAAATCATTCTGATGTGTGTCATAAACACGTTTCTGAAAAGTAATAGAGCAAAAAGAACTGACTATACCAAATAAAACACTTACCTCAGACCTTCGCCCTCTGTTGAGATAGGCACACACAGGGCTGAATGCTCCACTCCCACAAACATATAGGTGAGTGCGGTTGAAGGTCTGGATCACACGCACAAAATTACCACAGCCATGCTACAGAAAGAGAGAACAAATAAAAAGTTGATGGATCTACACACAAAGATAACATGATAGTGTTTGGTGGTGTTTGTTTCAATTTCAACACTGACTAAAATATGTTTTCTTTTAGCCTACTGTATTTATTGGAATAACCACAGTATGATCAGGAGTGTTCTTGACATTTTCCCATATATTTCAGAGCATACACTAAACTGCTGTGCTGCAGAAACAAAAATAACTTTTGGTGTAATGTGCAAAGTGTAAATTGGCAAGCTCCCCCAAGGTGAAACATATGGCCTTCACAACCACTCTGGAAGTCACTTACTGCACATGGATTTCTGTAATTCTCCCTTCACAAAAGTGCAGGATGAGGAAGCAAGTTCCAATCATGTCTCCTGTCTCACCTGCCCTCCTCTTTGTGCAGGCACAGGGAAGAGGTGATGTATCTATTGTGTCATACTTGCCAAAAAGTCTGGCTACCATAGTTGTATCTGGCCACTGATTGCTTCCACATAAGGCTCTTATCCTGTGGTAGGGAAGCCAAGACAGTCAGTGAGACTTGGTCATTATAACATTCCCTTCTGAAAATCCTTTTTAAAAACTTCTCCCCTTCTGCTCCTTGGCTTTGTTGTTAAATCATGGGTGGAGGCTGCAAACACAATGTTTGAAGACCCATCTAACTTGTCTAGACAGCTTCCCTCAACAGTATCGAAAGCCTGAGATGTTTACAGGAGAACCCTTGGGGGACCTGAAACATTTCCCCATGGTGAAAGCAAGATTTTTAAAGCCACACTCCCAGATAAATGTAAACATGTGCTTCTCTGTGAGCTTCCCTCCTTCCTGCTTACCATCCCCCCCCCCTCTGTTCTTCTCTCCCAACCAACCACTGATCACTTCCTTCTGATGCACTTTATACACAGATGTTTCCCTTCCAGATGAGATGTTAGGGAGAAAATATATATACATCCACAAAGGTTGGTGGGGTTGGTGTGGAGATATAGCATTGATAATTGCTCACCATTTACTTTACATTCAGATGTTCTGTTCTCACCCATTATATTGTGGCACCTTTCTTCCTGCACACTGGGATCTTACAACTCAAACACTCATCCACAAAAACCTATGTCCGCTTTCTGGCAAATGGATCTGAATCATTATGCACGACATACCCATTAGTATATGCAGTATGCTAAACTGTACATCACGTTCCCCATTTACAAATACAGAATAAAGTAAAATATAGATCCGGATCCTTCATTGTACAATGTTGTTGGCAAAATTAAAACATTTTCTTTTTCTTTTGTGGATCCCACAAATACCAGATAGCAAAGCTATTGTATGCATCTGTTAAGTGCTGCCAAGTCAGTTTCAACTTGTGGTGACCTTATGAATCAATGACCTCCAAAACGTCCTGATGCTCACAGCCTTGCTCAGGTCTTGCAAGCTAAAGGCTGTAGCTTCCTTGACTGAGTCCATCCATCTCATGTTGGGTCTTCCACTTTTCCTGCTGCCTTCAACTTTTCCTAGCATTATCATCTTTTCCAGTGACTCTTGCCTTCTCATCATGTGTACGAGAGCCTCAGTTGAGTCATTTTAGCTTCTTTTTGTAAGGAAAAAAGCTTCTATCCAACACCACATTTCAAATGAATCAACTTTCTTCCTGACAGCTTTCCAACTTTCAGGGTGATTTCCCACAAGCGCTGCTCCGCGCTCACTCCTCCCTTTTGCCCCAATGATACGTGTCAATTTCACACAAGCTGCTGCGCAGCCGCATTTTGCCCCGCAGCTTCGTGCGATTTTCCCCGCGTCTACTAAATCCTCAAAAAACAGGATTGAGTAGACGCGGGGAAAATCGCACGAAGCTGCGGGGCAAAATGCAGTCGCACAGCAGCTTGTGTGAAATTGACACGTACCATCGGGCCAAAGAGAAGAGTGAGCGCGGAGCAGTGCTTGTGGGAAATCACCCTTACACTCATACATAGTAATGGGGAATACTATAGTATGAATCTTGGTCACTAGCAACACATCTTTACTCTGCAGGATCTTTTCTAACTCCATGGCGCTTGAAAAGATCCTTAAGTGTGAATCTTTTACTGCACTCATTATAGGAAATAAAGTTGTCTCCTGGAGTTTGTATATAATACCCAGATCATACTAAGTATAAAGTATTGTTAAGAACTGAATGCTTATTTGTACAGGCAATATGCTTCCCTTTTTAACACATTCCCCATTTTCAATCAGACAGCATTAAAATCTTGTGAAATCCCTGTGATACATTGCAAGCATATTAGTATCTGAATAGGTTTCATTGTATAACTTCCATCACTGTGAGATTCTACAGAAAATTAGCTAGGAAAAGTTTTGTTTCTTTTAGGATAGCTTTATGAATGAATCATTTGACATTTACTGTACTATTGTGCTTCCTTTCAGCAAGCTGAAAAAAAGTTACACAACTTAATTTTCAGGCTGCCTCAGGGCCAAGTAGACATTACACTGTGAGATCTGTGAAGGAATCTTCTGAATGTTTTTAAACTAGCTGCCTCTGCACAATGTCCCAATTCAGATTAGGAGCACAGAACAATGGAGTGACCCTTCCCACCTTCATATAATCATATAATCAAAACAGGTTGGACAGCTCTCGGGGGAGGGGAGTTAAGCGCCTTCTCACCCCATGCCATAGTCCCAATAAAAGCTCTATGATACATTGATCTTGAGCGAACTATGAACTGAACTGAACCGCATTCTCCCGGTTCATGCCCATCCCTACTCATAACTGCCAAAGAGTGAGAGTTTAGTCTGGCCAGAATGAACACCCTTAACAGACTTTGGGAAGACAACAGATGTATGAAAGAAGAGATTTTGGAAGTGGAACACCAAAAAATTGGGATGAACAGGTTGGTGTGGTGTGCTCTAAAAGAAGAACTTTGGTGATCGATTGATTTTACATGATTTCTCACAAAAGCAAATGCTGTATAAAAGCTCATGGCCCGGATAGTATTCAGGTTAACATCGAAAGCCAACAGTTTCTCAGAAACACTCAGTTTCGAAAGCCAACAGTTTCTCAGAAACACATTGACCTATAAGAGTCTTCTTTCAGGAGTATCAGGTAGCCCTTATTACTCAAGTATGACTTGATGAACAGTCTAAACACCTGTAACCAAGCCCTTGCCTCAAGCGAAGGTTGGCTCAGTTCTGAATGCAGAGCCCTGCAGCGAGGAATACAAAGGTACAAATACCCAGGGGACTCAAAAAAACACGAAGAGGGACGGGGCTCATTGGGAGTGTCCCAACAGAGCACCCGCGATGCTGCGCCGTTGCCCCAGAAATCCCAAAGGGTACAAACTTTGAGAATTTCATCCCAGGGGGATGTAGGGTTGGCAGGTCTTATTTTCTCCCCGGCAAGGGGATTGGGGGGGCATGTCGGGAGGGGGAGGGGCTGTCCCTATTGTAACAACATCACACAGAGTGACATCATCGTGTCAGGGACGCAGCACCATGTGTGCATGCTCCTCCTGCTTTCACCAACCTTTTGAAGGGAACCTTCCCTTTAAATGGTTGGGGGGAAAGCGGGGATTGCCTGCGCCTGACCTGCAAGCAGGAAGTTTGCCACTTACAGGGCAGGCACAAGTGGCTCCCACTTCAAAAGAATGGGCACCATGTGCACTTTCCCTGCAAGTGGCGAGCTCACTGCTTGCAGAGCAAGTGTGGATGGCCCCAGGTTTAAAAGACTGGGTGCCATGCACACCTGCCCTGCAAGCGGCAAGTTTGCCACTTGCAGGGCAAACGTGGGCAGCCCCTGCTTCAAAAGAGCAGACCCTATGCATGCATGCCGTGCAAGCGTGGGTGGCCCCCGCTTTAAAAGAGTGGATGCCATGTGTGCCTGCCCTGTAAGTGGCAATCTCACTGCTTGCAGGGCAAGTGTGGGCAGCCATGGCTTTAAAAGACATGGCGCCGTGCACACCTGCCCTGCAAATGGCAAGTTGGCCATTTGGAGGGCAAGCGTGGGCAGTCCCCGCTTTGAAAGATGTGCACTGGCACCACTGGCAGGGCAGGCATGCATGGCCCCTGCTCTTTACATGTGGGCTGTGGATAACTGTTGGGGGCGGGGCTTCCCCCCTGCCAGCCAGCTGGCCAGCATCTGGGGCAGCCAAAAAAATCAGGAGATCCCCCACCCCCACCTCGGAACTGGCATACCTAGGGGGATGGTGTGGGGAGAGTTACAACCAATAATGTTTTTCCTGTTGAAAACCAAAGAAAGAAACTAAACAGGTATAATAAAATATTTTTTTAAAAAAAACCTGACAAATAAACTGAGAATGACCTGAGGTTTGTGCATGCATACATCCAACAAACATACTAAAAAAAAAAAAAAAATCACATCAGCATTCAAATAGAATTCAGGTAAGACCTTCAACAGTCCTTCCAGATTTAAAAGAAGTCATTCATTCATCTGGAAGTAATGAGAGTTCTGATCAGGGAGTTTTGAATGGGGAGTTGTTCAGTGATAAAAGATACAGCCACCAAAAAAGGGCCCCTGCCTCGCATTGCCGTCCCCTTGGCAGCACCCGCTCACAGCCTCTAAAGCTGAACCCTCAGGTGATAAAGCTGAGAGAGTTTGTTACTAATTCTCACTCACTCAAGAAATGCTCTCAATGATGAACAAGTGATTAACATGATTATAATTAAATGAGTGGTATGCTTGTTTGACCCAGGACTTGAGGTTTCAGTAATTGGCTCAACAGATGTCTCTTTTTAAAAACCAAAAGAAAACAAAAGTATGAATAATAGCTGTGCCACATTTACCTGCTTTAAGGAAGTTCTGCTCTTTTTCAGGCATCTGGTCAAAACATTGGTTTATAAACCAATAAAACAGCCTTTATGATTAGCAGTAAGTGCTGTTGGAATGAGCAGGGTCCCCCCCCCCCATCATACAAAGGGCCATATATACTGTCTGGGAATCCATCCAGGCACTTACATTAGCATTAGCTCAGCAGTCTGCGTTAAATTCTCTGGGAGATACTAAGAGCAGGCTTTACTTGTGATATCCATCACTGGTGATGAGGTAAGCAAGAAATACACATTGCTGAAGAAAGAAATCAGGTTCTGAAAAACTAGCAAAGCGCTCATTTTTCCAGACATCCATTGCCAGAAGCTGCGGAAGTAATGAGTTTGCATCACAAACTCGCCATACCGTTCGCTTTGCAGGGTATTAAAAGAAAGCACACCTCTCCTGTATTGCTTTTGTCTGCACCCAAGGGGCTCCAACTCCTGTGGCTAGATATCTAATTTAAAAGAATTGGTTTAAAAATACTTACAGCAGGATCCTTGCCAGCCATTTTGCATTCATCGACTCTGTTTGCTGATGCTGGCCAGAAAATCTGTTCAGAAGAAGGAAAATTTTTTTCCAATGGATTATATAATATTAAATACACATTTATAGAAAAAGTCTTCAATCCCACCTTGTTATGCTACCACATTACCTCCAAGGTTCCTGCATGAAAAACTCACAAGGTCAACATTTTTGCTAAACTATTTTATTGAGGAAATATCTCCTCTTACAGGAAATTTTTCCTCTTACAGAAACCCCAGTAAAGAGCATGAAGACCCCCCCCACACACACACACCATTTGAGGCTAATTTCTGGTGTAGTTTAGCTATGCCTTAAATATATAATTAAAATGCAAACTGTTCTTAAATTAGAGCATTCCAGAAAGAAGCACTCAAATTAATAGCTGCACTCGTCATCTTGACTTGGGGCAGGCTGTTACAAGCCTCAGCTATTATGCAGACAAAATCTGGAAAAGGGTGGACCCTAACATTTATTAATCTAATTGTAGCTTGGATTAAGCATTTCCAAATGGTATCATAGGTTCACATGCTCACCCAAATGTACAGAGCTTGTGTGGTGCAGTGGTTATAGCATCAAACTAGAACCTGAGAGACCCTGGTTCAAACTCCCACTCTGCCACGAAGCTTAGATGGGTGACATTGGGCTAGTTACTCTCTTTCTCAGAGGAACCTACATTGCATTGGTGTTATAAGGATAAAGTGGGGAAGGGAAAAACATGTATGCTTCTCTGAGCTCATCAGGGGAAGGGTGGCATAAAAATGCCATTTTTTGTAGAAGCAGAACTACAGGTGCCTCACTTGCCTCAGATGCATAAAGCTGAGGGACACAGAAAAAATACACATAAAATATGGGTCTACTATCAAACCTGCCATGCAATTAAGATATGGATGAATTCCTATAAAGTCAAACTGAACCAACCAAGTAGGGGCAGCTGCTCCATTAAAGTAAGAAGTAGCGCCCAACCAAGTGCAGCTCCTTGCTGCTTTCTTCCTTTGCAAGAAAGTAAAACTAAAGACTTATTGAACTTACTACCTGTACAGGGTGCACTGCTCACAGGCTGTCAACTCCCTCAATTTTCAATCTTAGCCCTCCTGCCTGCTTGTCTTTGTGGACCTCAGCCAAGTTCCTCCCTACACTCAAGCCAGAGGGTTTTCTTCCCAACAGGATCCTTTCTGGGCCAAAGCCAATAGCTGCCTAACACAAAACTATAGAAAGAGGGTGAAGTATATTAAAATAAGGAAATATTGACAGGCTTGGTCAATGGATTCTTACAGAATCTATTTACTAATCAGACATTCACAAGGCTAGCAGAACCTGCTGTCTACTTATTGTTTTTAATAAAATGTACATCCCACCTTTCCAGGGTTGCCAGGTCTGACTCAGGAAATACTGGAGATTTGGGATGGGGCAGTGCTTAGCAAGGATGTAATGTCATGTTTTAATGTCATCCTGTGATGTCATTTCCTGGTCAAAGGTCAAGTAATGACACACTGTGGTATCACTTCTGAGTTACTTCACCAAATCCACCCCTTCTGTTATGTCACTTCCAGGGCACTCCTCCAAAACCCACCCCTTCTTGTGAGGTGACTTCTTTCTTTTAAAATTTTAATCTCAATCCCTCACTTTATATCACTTCCCCCCCCAACTTTCCCCCACCTTGCATTATTTGCAGACCCCTAAACGCTTGTCTCCATGCCCTGCAAAACAGCAAAGTTGCAGCTATCCTGGGCCCCTGGAAAGCTGGAGGAGAGGTGATAGGAGCTAGCAACTGGCTTGACCCTGCAAGTTGGACTCCCTTTTGCTCTCTACTCTCCACATAGGCATTAGTGCATGTTGGAGGGGGAGGAGGCGATGTGTGGCACCACTGCTTCATGCACAGTGGGCAGGTTTGATGGACTGATGGTCTGATTCAGTATCAGTCAGTTTCATGTGTCTTCATGTGTGTTCAGGTTCAGCCCTTAGAGCCGCTAGCAGTGTGGGAGGTCATGGGCAGGTTGAACATCATCCAAATTATTTTAAGATCACACATATATTACATGGCAAAGTACAGTGACTTGAGGTAGATAGAGAGCAGGGCAGGTTTCAGATATTTTGTTTCCCCAAGTAAGTTACACCCCTTGTTTCCTGTATGACCAGCTGCTGAATCTAAGCCAAACCATTACTGCAATGCCACAGAGGCTCGGCTAGAACCTGGCTGTTAGTCAGCATAGTAAATGGTGCCCATCACCCAGAGTTGGTCAGAGGTCATTTCGGGGGGGAACGCGGGGGAATGCAGTTCCCCCGGGTGAGGTGCAGGGGGGCAGGGCACATGACGAAGCCCCGCCCCTTCTTCCGGCCGCCCCCTTCTTCCAGCCCCATTCTGTTGCAGGAGGAGGAAGAAGCAGGAGGGTAAGTTGGCGTCCTCCCCCTATGCCTGGCCGAGGCCACTCCACGTGGCCTCCGCAAGGACTCACAGCCCCATCCAGGAGCTTCCCTGAGGTAGCTGTGTTAGTCTGTTGCTGCAAAATAGTCCAAGAGTTCAAATAGCACCTTTAAGACTAACCTTTAAGACTAAGACTGAGTGGTGGGTGTGGCCTTATGACACACTTCCGGTGATGTCAGGGGTGTGTGGCCTCATGACACACTTCCGGTGATGTCAGGGGGTGTGACATATGCTAATGAGTTATGCTAATGAGTTCCCCTAGCTCTTTTTCTACGAAACGACCCCTGGAGTTGGTAACTTCTTAACTGAAGAAATTCCAGAAAGAGATTAGAACAGGAGATTGCTGAATTACAAATTATTAAATACTCAGAGCAATGGAACCCCCAAGGCTTAACAAAGATAAGGGATTCTTATCTCACTACACATGCTAAGTCACTCAGTTCTCACTTATACCCAGAATTAAACTTTGTTGTTCTTAAAGGTGCCACTGGACTCAAACTTTGTTCTGCTGCTTCAGACCAACACGGCTGCCCACCTGAATCCATGGGCTTTTTAAACAAGCACACAACCCATATAGTACCTATAGGACCACCAAATGTCACATAATAATGTGCAAGCCTTTGAGTTTGGCAGAACTCTTCTTTAGGCTGGATGTTACAGAAAAGAAAAGAAATCATGCTGGCCATGATTTAAAGTCTGCATTGTGCTTAGATGTTCGATGCAGGTCTGATGCTTGGAGGCAGGGTACATGTTTTGCGAGTTTAAGCACATTGTCAGGGGAGTACTGAGCTGGCAGGTACATGGGAAAGGCATTTGCACTTCCTCAGGGCTACTGATTTCCTCTTCCCTGGGCACCAAGGCAGGCCCATACAGCCTGGATCTGACTAGGAAGTGGGAGGGGGTAAGTGTTGAAGTGGGTGGGAGTGGCAAGCCCAATAGGGAGTCAAGCAGCAGATGGAGGGTGGTGAAAGATTTGCCAGAGACCAGCTTGGCCCTGGCTCTCACTGCCAGGATTCAATCCACCAGAAAAAGAAGGCACCCAACAGCACTGTATGTCATAAAGTAAAACTAAAGGTTTTCCTTGCTCGAAAGCCAGTCGAATCCGACTCTAGGGTTGCGGTGCTCATCTCCGTTTCCAAGCTGAAAAGCCAGCGCTGTCCAAAGACGTTTCCGTGGTCATGTGGCCGGCATGACTAGACACCGAGGTGCACGGAACGCTGTTACCTTCCCACCGAAGCAGTACCTATTTATCTACTTGCAGTTTCTTGCTTTTGAACTGCCAGGTTGGCAGGAGCTTGCGCCAGAGGTGGGAGCTCACTCCCTCATGCGGCACTAGGGTCTCGAACTGCCGAACTACCGACCTTCTGGTCTGCAGCTCAGCGTCTTAACCTCTGAGCCATTGCGGCTCCCACTGTATGTCATACCCTCCCAGAAATACGTCCTTTCCTCCTGGAAAAAGGCAAGGGATCTATTCCCCACATACACACACACTTTTTTGGTATAGTCAGATTGCAGCCACATGTAGGCACAGAGCATTTGCAGAATACTAAATACCTATAATTAGGACGAGCCAAATGCCACATAAGAAAGCAAGCTTCCAAGTTCTCCAGAACTCTTCTTCAGGCTGGATTTTACCAAAAAAAAAAAAAAAAAAAAGGAAAAAAAAAGAGAGGAAAAGATGCTGTCTGGGAAATGGTGTAAAGTCCTGGTGTAGTATGTGCTGTGCTAGATATTAGATGCATGCTGGGGGGTGTCACACTTTCCCCCCCCCTTTTTTTCTTTTTAAAACATTTGCTCAGGGGAATGCTCTGCTAACAGGTGCCAGGGAAGGCACTCTGTGGTTTTTTAGGGGCAGTGCCTTCTCTCCCCTGGGCACTGAGGCAGACTCACCCAGATCAGGGTTGAGAAGGGGAGGGGTTGAAGTGGGTGGGTGGGCCCCAGGAGAAACTCAAACGTCGGATGAGGGTGGTGAAGCATTTGGCCAACTATGTCAGCCAGTGCCAAAGAGCATCTTGGCCCTGGCCAGCTAAGGGCAGTGCCTGGCTTTCACGGGGGCCAACGGAGAAAGAAAGTGAGGGGGAGAGGCACCCACAAGGTGCTTGTCAGCAGCAGCTCTGGTGGAGAAGAGCATCAGGCAGCCTCAGCGCCAAATAGGAATTTGGCCTGGCCAACCAAGGGCAGCACCTGGCTCTTGCCCAAACTGATGGAAAAAGAAATGGAAGGAAGGCACCTGCTGACAAAGAGGTACCTGCCAGCAGCAACTCAGACAGAGGCAGACAAGCTCCTGGCTCAGTCAGCCCAAAGGTATCCAGGTGGCTGCAGGTAGCAGCAGTGGGCAACCAGATTGCAGCTGTTGGTAGCTGCCACCAGCTTGGTGCCACAATGGAAGCCTGCACCTTTCCTACCCACTTATATGGCTGCTGTTGTGTCAGGGATCTCTTTTTTGCACCCTGGTGTTGCTCAAGGGGTACTACAAGAAGAGAAGGAGATGCTTCTTCACGCATTACAGAGTACACAGATTGGGTTGGGGTCCCTTCTGTGAACAATTTGCAATTGGTCAGATGAGAACTGCAGAAGTGGTACCTGATTCAGATAACAATTACGTT